TTTTTTTTTTTTTTTTTTCTTCAGAAGATCCTCTTATAATCATCAACTCCACTATTTATAATAGAACTCGCCATGCTTTTATTTGGTGTCTTGCATTGAACTATCATCTTGTGTCTTGTCTGATCGACTGCCATCATAATCGCATATAGGGCACGATAGTTGGCTTCTTCTTGAAGTTTTTCGGCATCAGTCCACAGGTCCTTTGGTTTAGGTACCGCAGCCGATGAAAATCTTTTTCCTTGATTTTGTGCTTCTGACATAACAAGATCTTCCCATCCATTTTCAACACTCTCCCACGCACCTCTTCCAAGAGATCTTAGGATGTTCGTGATCATAGATTTCCAGTATGAGTAGTTAGAACCATCCAATTGCGGAGGCCTAGACATCGATCCACTTTCCTCATTCATTATTGTCCAATACACAAGTCCTCAGATCTTTCGTAATGTAAACAAAAACCCGCTCTGGCGCCAATTGAAGTTGTCTTACCTTTTGTGATAACAACTTATATATTGATTAGTAACAAACAGAATGGACTAAGACATTTCAAATAATTTCGGAAGCAGTATAACTTAAAACTGAACTTCAGGAGAGCGTCACACTCTCCCTTCGGATCTCTTTCATTAATGCAAACATCACAAGCATTATTCAAAGGTTTACAGTATAGACTCCTTCTAAACTCTACTTGAACAATGATCTGCATTACTACTTATCCGACCACAAATCCCTTGTGGTTTTTCGTGTTTGACTCCCTCAAACTTCACAGAATGAACCTCCGATCACTCTAAATTTTTCACTCCATAAAATACAAAATAAATCAGCACTCAAGAAAATTACTCTCGTTACAGCATATGCGCATACAAAATTCCAGATCAAAAAGTTATTCTTCTCCAACTGTCTCGTCGTCCTTTTATCTTCAATTACAAATGGTAAGTCACACACCAGACTTTGTTTCCAAGTCACGTCCACTTATGGTAGGCCTTCTTATGGAGTTCCAAATCCCGCGATTGCATATTGCGCATTAGAAAGTGAATCTCAATTGCCTTTCATTAGACATGTCATAATAAAACATATATTACTATTTATCAATAATCTGGAAAGTCATTAAAATTAGTCCAAATAATAAAGAAAAACTTCCCTTAAATATTCTTGAGTCGTCAGAACCTAGGACTAATGAAAGTTCGTCGATTTACTGTCGATCTTTAAAACTTACAAACGTGAAGGTGTTGGGTACCGATTTGATCGTGGGTTAGGCGTGCACACGTCGAGGTGATAGTGCGCAATGAGACAAAAGCGGCTCCTTGTCGAGGAGGATCTCAGAAGAGACTTGAGATTTATTTCATTCGATGATTCAAAGCTCGAAGTCGGTCGAAAAAGGCGGTAGAGGTAGACGACACGAAAAAGTGTCGAGTCAAGTCAGGTCTAGGGGAAGAGGATGCAATGAACAAAAAAATATCGTGTTTTCCACTTGAAAATATTAAAAGGCATTTCGTTTATAAAGTGAGCTCCACTGCGGGCTTGCAGGTACAAGGTGCCTCTAGCGGTCGAGGTCGATGCAGCTCAATCGATGATAGGAGAGGATGGCGTGGATGACCAGCTAAAGGATGGAGTTGGTGACAGTTGATTTATTGGGACCCCGAATACATTGCAGAATTCGAAAAGCAGGAATAATAGGAAACCTAAGTCCTAGGTTTATTTGGTCTTAAAAAAAATGAAACAATCAGTTGGGGGTGGTCATAAGCATCCATGGGTCGATCGAGCAAGATTTTGAGGAGAAGTGATCTCCTCCTCATCCTCAGAGTTTATTTCGTCGCGAAGTAGGAGAGGACGGCGAGGAGGACGTGAGGTGACTGAGGATGGACCAGCCCAAGAAAATGAAAGGACGGTTTTGACCTCCACTGAAGGTGAAGTAAGAAAAAAAAAAGAATTGCGGATCAGGAGTAGCAGAGCAGAATGGAGGATTCATATCTCGACCGGAATTACGGTCGCCCTCGCTGGATGTTGTAGAATCTGAAAAAAGGAAAAAGAAAATAAAAAAATGGTTAAAGAGTCGAAGGAAGGCGACACAATACAGAGAGGTTGAAGAATATCTCACGGGAGAGCAAAAGTAAATCAAAACAATCAAAATTAACAGAGAAGAAAAAAAACTTACACTTTGTTGTTGATAAATAACGGGGGAATAAGAATTTTGTTGACCTGTGGTGGATCAAGCGATAGGATCTCCGAGCACAGGCTGAACTCTCGTCGAACGAGGGAAGAAAGCAAGAGTACATATCTGCGAATTTTTGCTGAAGTGAAAAACCTAGCAAAGTAGGCTAAAGCTCCTTTTTATAGTTGGAGGAAAAAGAGAAGTAAAGGGGTCGATCGATCTCAATCGCTTGTTCAGCAGTCCAAATCGAAAGCAGTAGGCTAAAGGATAGGCCAAAATTCGATCGTTGAATTAAGGTGAAGATGGACGGATGAGACCAACCTCACATTAAATGGGGTGCACTGCGCGTGATCCGCACAGACTGCGAAGCGTAAGGCGATGGGATGTTTGGACCAGACGTGGCACGTAACGATAGAATGGTTGGATGGGACGGGTGCTGACGCATTGTAACCATTTGGAAATCAAAATTCAAAAGGGGAAAAGATTGGCAACAGGCCGAATAAATGCGTGGTAATGATCTCAGAGCAAGGAGGAAGCTCGAAAAAGCAAGAAGGGAACCAACACGCCAGAATTGAAGAATAACCCATTTTTACTCTTGTAACGAGTCATCTTGACTTGACTAAAATGGGAGGGACCGGATGATATGAAACAACCGCACCAGGTCGAGTAGACCGAAAAAGTGATCAAACCACACCGAGTCAATCATAAGCTCAAACTGAGAAGGAAGGCCCTACAGGTCAAAAGAGTCGTAGGTCGAAATGACATCAAGGATGCGAGGGGTACCAGAAGGTCGAGTGGGGTCCCTGGATTGCCTGGTGGAAATTTGACCTGAAAAAGCACATGGTCGAATGATCGATCAGATGGGCGTAACAACAGAGCTCGACATCGATGATGCTCCACCTCGAAGTAATTCGGGTCAGTCGCACAGCTAGACCGTCTAATGAAGAAGACTAAAAGGTAAGAATGAATATTATGAGGAATAAATCCCCACGTGGATATGACCACGTTGCATAATAGAATCAAACAATTATGGTAGATCGGGCAATACGAACCGACTGTCTAGGCAACCCATGCGGTAGACTTGGACAACAAGGTATCATCTTCCACAAGTACTAATTTAAGCTTTGGAGACTATTCACCAGAAAATCCCTCCAGTGTGAGAGTTCTGTATATTTAAAGGCGTTTAATCGTCAATCAAACTCAAGAACTAACTATTTCCAACTGTTTCCAATCGGTCGGAGGTCTTTACGATACCACCAATCGGTCGGAGGTCTTTACGATACCACGCCCTTGCCAGGTAGGTTGATTCATGATTTCTATTGGATTTCAAGATTAAACTTAACTACCCCACTTATAGCTACTATCTCTACTATCAAATTTCATGATCATGGTAAGTGCATTTTTCACATCGTATCCACTAAATCAAATCTGGACTTGTGGAAGTAGTGTGGTGAGGATAAGGTTTTATCCTCCACGTGGCGGGATACGGATGTAGCTGCAGGTTTTATCAATACTTTGTATGTGTTTTTAACGTTGGTTCAGAGTAGCTTAGAGCCACTTTCAATGTTGGATCTATTTACAGTGAAACAATGTAGTGCCATGTAAGTATTACATCATTTAGATTAGAAAAAAAGTTCATTCTATTACCAAAGAGGCGCTGGACAGTATCAACACCATTAAACAATTATTTATTAATCTTCTCCCAAGAACTCATAGAATTACACAACACAAATTGAACGCTCGGAATTAATGAACTATAAACTTGATGGTAAAAGCAAAACAAAACATAATTTGATTAACTGGGCGCCCCTCAGCCAACGAGGTCATCCTCCTTGTGCGTCTGGATGACGACATCCGAGGTCGGCCTGGCCACGCAGGTGAGCACGAAGCCTGCTCCGATCTGGTCATCGTCCAGGAAGCTGCCGTCGTCCTGGTCCACCGTGCCGCTCACTATCTTGCCCGCGCAGACCGAGCACGCGCCGGCACGGCACGAGTAGGGCAGATCGTGGCCGAGCTCTTCCGCCTGGTCCAGGATGTACTCATCGCCGGATGACTTGAATGTGATCTCCCCGCTCGGCGTCACCAGCTTCACGTTGTACTTAGCCATACAGGTGAGCCGGGCCCGCCCGGGACTCAGCCTCACCAACGGCGCCTGCTGCTTGGTCAAAGGGTTGCGCGGGAGCAGGCTGGTGCTCAACATTGTGGAGGAGAGGGTAGCCATTCTTATTTTTCAAGACAAAGAGAAAAAAAAGACAGCTAAATTTGGGAGAATGTATACATTACTATTATATATAGGCCGGATATCCTTTTATTTAAATAGTAGTAAATAATTTGCACCAAAAAAAAAAAAAAAATACTAGTAAATAATAATTAGTTATTAAAGATTGATCATATGGAAAATAAAGCCATATGTCTCCGAAATTAATTTTATTTCGATTTAATAAAAATTATTATTCATTTAATTCCTTATACGTGTAATTGAGTTAATAATGCAACAAACATGATAAACTATATTCTTTAACATTTTGAGTTTCAATTCAAACTTGTTAAAATTGTCTTAAATTCTTGATGAGTTATTAAAAAATCACGTACATACAAACATTATATAAAATATATTATTTTAGTACTAATTATATGTGTTATTATTATTATTTTTTTTATTTCGTGTCATACAATGATTTATTTTTAATCAATACATTAGTGTAGATAGATATATAGTGTTCAAAAGTTTCTCAAATATTATGTAGTGTTCAAATGTTTATAAAATATTATTATTTTACAGTTATAATATTTGATGAATTATTAATTATATAATGTAATCTAAGTGATAAGTTTTTTTAATAAATTCTTAAAATAAAGTTATTTTTATATTAATGAATATATAAAGTATATATCATGTAAATGATATAAATTGTATATAATAATCGTACTCCATAATAAATACCACATATTCTTGTACACAAAATAATATTGAGATTTTAAAGATGGGCTAGGCTTGTGGAAATAGTGTGGCGCGGGTGGTGCTTATCCTCCACGTGTCGAGATAATATGGCCCGTTTTATCGTTTTATCATCACTTTGTTTTCGTAACGTTTGTTTTCGGCCTCCCATTTTTCCTTGATGATTCGATATAATTTCATTTTTTGTTAATTTTTTGTGATTTTTTAGTTTATTTCTTTTGAGGGGACTGGGCCAACTGGCTACATAACAGAACTAATAACTAATAAGTAATAACTAATAACCAAGGTTTTCAAAATCCAACTGGTTATCGAATCGGTAAAGTTACCGGTTTAATGGTTCACGATCAGTGGTCGAATCGGTTTAATACTACAAGAAATTTGATATTTTATGACGAAAATATTTATCATAAAAAATCTATTTTTCATCATTAAAAGTATATAGTGACGAAATATTTTCGTCGTAGCGTTCGTCACTGTAGCCGCGTAACAAAATGTCTATGTGACATTATTATGATTTGTAATTAAAAAATTAGTTTTACTGACGTCTATCTCATCACTTTAAGTATGAAAAAAATTGTCATTGAAATTCTTAAATTGTCACTAAAAGATCGAATTTAAATAACGAACTGATATTTTGGCATCTAAATAATAACATATAGTGACAAACTTGCCATTGTTACCGTCGAATTTGTCACTTAAATATATTTTTATATGACGAATTTAATTATTCGTCATTTAAACACTAACATATAT